GCGAGAAAATCCACCAGATACCTACTTTTAAGCTTTTTTGTTCTGTCCATATGAATTTTTAGGGGGTAATCATAACAGTAGTTGAGAAAGAGATGAAGTGTCCATTTGCCGACCAGTACATTCTAAATTTCTGATGTCTTCCTTATTAAGTCAAGATTAACGCCATGCAAAAATGGACTTATAATTTTTTCCTACTTCCAGCTACCTTCTCATGTAGAATAAATTTTGGGAGTTGTTCCCCAAGAGAAACTTTAGTCAGCCCTTACACAACTCTATAAGTGGGGAAATGCCTGATTACAAATGCTGTTCTTGGTATGCAGTATCTGACTAGGCTCAGGAACATCTTCATCTCTGCCTGGGTATATAAGTTGTAAACACTGTGATCTTCACCTTGTAAATGGACAGCTCTAGCACATCCATGTAATATATGTTTAAAAAAACCCAAAACAAACCACCAAAAAAATGCAAAAAAAGGCACAAACCAAATACTTAGATCCTCAGGAAGTGTATGAAAAACCCTCTTAATTCAGCCCCTTTCGTATAGAATATTTTTATCACACTTACCTGAAAATTAAATTAGTCGAGAAATTTAAACTGAAGTACAGCCTTAGCTGTACAAGTTTGGAAGGGATCAGTAACAGAAAAATTAACATGAGAGAACATTTTTCTTTTAAAATTTGTATGTATATTTAATGATCTCTGAAAAATAGATGATGACCTTTTTCTTTTCACAGCCTCTTTAGATCATCTCATCCAACCCCATTGCTGAAGAAGGGTCAGCCAGAGCAGGTTGCCCAGGACGAAGTCCATCTGGGTTTTGAATATCTGTACAGATGGAGACTCCACAATCTCTCTGGTAAATCTCTCAAATGTTTGAACACAGTGAAAGTAAAAAGAGTACTTCTTTGCTTTCAGGTGAAATTTTCTTCACCCATTGTCTCTTGTCCTATCAGTGAGAACCACTGAGGAGAACCTGGCCTGGCTGCTTCTTCTCCCTTTTCTCCCATTATGTATTAAGAAATTAAGATCCCTTTGGGCTATCTATTCCTGAGGCTGGACAGTCCCAGCTCTCCCAGCCTTTCCTCATAGGAGAGGTGTTCTAGTCCCTTCATTGTCTTTCTTGCCCTGTGTTGGACTCTGCATGTTTTTCCTCGTGTCTGATTAAGGAGTTCTGGAAACCTTGCAGATACATACTGGAAATGTATTACTAGAAATGTACTGCTACATAAATTATTGAGGTCCTGTTCTGAGGCATTTGAAGAAAAAGAAATATCAAGTAATTTTACATTTGTAATTCTGAACAAAATATTTCTGTTCTTAGTTTTCTTAGAAATCTAAAGTAATTATTTGACTTCAGTAGCTGTCTCCAGATGTAAATGGAAGTTGAATCTTATGTATGTTCTATATAAAGCTAGTTGCAAAAAAAAGAAGTATAAACTAAACTTTTCATTTAAAATAGCTGAAGCAGCAAAAATTTTTCCAGGAGCCACAGGGGGTATTTCAAAACAGAGAGACTGAATTGTGGTTTCATTTACATTAGACTAAATCCTACATGCCATGTTTTTATATGCACAGTCATTGCTAGGCAGTCTTTGAAGCAAGAAGTGTGGTTCCTGCAAGTCTTAGTTTTATCCTACCTGAGGGTGCTGTTGGTGACAGCAGTGTCTTAGTCTTCTGTAGTTAGAACTTTCCCATAGTAGAAGGAAATTGTGTCCTGCTCTCCTCCCCTGACACCAAGGTATTACTGTATGTAACCAAGTTCCTGACAAAACTGATTAGCCTGTGAACAAGAATGCCCCATCTTACTCAACAGACTGGGAAACTGATGTTGCCTGAGAAAACAACAGCTTGTGCTAAAGTGACACCTATTACCTAGCATCTCTGTGCACTGCCTAAAGATAAACAGCAATAACTAGAGTGTGTCTACCCTATGAAATGGAGTAGTGCTGTAGCTAGTTCCTATCTCCATCATACTTGTCCTGTAGGCAAACCCAAAGGCTAGTTGTTCTTCCAACATATTCTTCATGTTACCAAAGCCATCAGAGTGAAAATGCCAGAGATCAACCAGCAAAACAAGGAGATAACAAGTTGAATGTGAATGAGACCTCCTGAATTTTTCCCGAGTTTGTTCTTAGCTTTGGTCCAGATGCAGCTATGAGCAGGAAATTTTGGAAGGGATGCTTTTCAAAAAGTGACATGACAGAATGTGTGGGACTGATGACGCTTCTAGTTTGTTCTACATTGCTCTCCCTTTACAGACCAATTTGGCTCCTCCAAAATTCCCAGTAATGTCACTGGAAATACTGCAAGAGGAGGATTGTAGAATATGACTCTTCAGGCAAGTGCCTGAGGGTGTATCTGCAACTATCCCTTAACAGATCTGTTAGAAGCAAATCTGTCTGGGCTTGGGAGACACCACAGAGACAGTTAACGTTTCTTCACACTGGCCACTGCTGCTCTCCCAGCAAGGAACTTGCTGTACCTCAGAGCAGCCTGGCACCAGTGACCTGAGCACTGCCATGGCTTTGCTGCTGGTCACTCTCCAGGATGCCAGTGGTAAAAGGATTTTGCACAACATCTACTAAATATAGAGAGCTCCTATGAAATGTTAACAAACCTAAACACAGTGAATTAGAGAAGATCACATCTCACAAGATTTGACTTTATCAGGCTCAGCTCACACATCTCTAGCAACTCAATATTGAGTTGATCTTAAAACTTTTTCAAGTATTTAATGGGGCATGGCTTGCACAGTGTAAAATCTGCTTTTAAAAATATACGCCAAATCAGTTCCCCATTTGTGTGCTGGACCACATGAGCCCTGCAGCAGCTGGAGCACAGGAGAGCAGCACACAGCTCCTAAGAGTCATTCCCCAGAGGAGTGTCAGTCCTTTTACTTTGAAGTATCCAAGCACACATATCTGTGCAAAGTTGCTGAGTTCCCTTGAGTAAACCAGCTTCTACTTTTGAAGGTGTCTGGTGAAGCTCTTCCTGCCTGTATTCCCAGTCCTGCTGAGGATGCTGTGTGATTTGCTGGAGAAAAGTCCTAACTGCAAGGCACATGCTGGCATCTTTTTGTTGATCTTTTGTAAATATCTTTCTTTCTTTTTATGACCTGGTAACTACCAGACCTTCTACTGATTAAATGCTCTTGATTCCCTGTATGCAAACCTGATGGAAGACATGGGGTTCTTCTGGAATAAATATGAGGAGAATTTGCCTCTGAGTTTCAACCCTATCAGATCCATAAAGTCTACCTATAAATTACAATAAAAAGATGGTTATGCATCTCTTTAAAGATGCAGTGTGAAAAATCAAAAAATTGAGAAGCACCAGGTCTACCTGGCTTATCTCACATACACAGATACTATCCCAGTTTGTGAAGCACACAGCAGTCAGATCTGCAGAGCTTTTCTGAGGGATGGAGTAACTGAAATAAATCCCCGGGTAGTCTTGCCATTTCTGTTTTAAAAAATAGCTCAACTTACCCTCAGAGACCTAATTTTATTCTATAGTACAAACTTTTAGGAAGTAGTAAACAGTTTCAGTTTCAAAGAGCTTGCATTCTAAACTCCTTCCCAATGCCTATGCACTTGTTTAACTTCTTTTTTATTGTCCAGTTTAATTACATGAGATTATACACAAACATAAAGCTATGCCTAAACTTTTGTCATATGAGAGCAAAGATAAAGGTAGGATGTGAGAAAGGAAGTATTTGTTAGCCACATCTTGAGGATGAGGAACTGAAGCACAGCAAAAAAATGAGATTCTTATCCTCCTCAGAGTGTGAATGTGCTTAATTCTTAGGAATGAGCAATTTCCATCAAGTTTGCCGTGCCCCCTAGGCTGAAGAGTAAGGTCTGGATTTCAGCGACTGTCTCTGCCACCGATTTTAAGTACGCTACGTAAGTTCTGGTCCGGAGATAAAATTCAAGTGCACAAAAAGCGCCGGACGCGTTTTGCACGGAATGCGAAAGACTAGATTGAAGTAAAGAAGGATGATCTGACCCCTTAGCTCTGGAGCGTTTCAGGTGGATGTCTGCAGTTGACGGCCTGTGACTGTCGGCCGTATCGCTGTGCCTGGTCGCTGTCTGCAGCGCGGGGCCACCCGAGTTCCGGCACCGCATGAGCCCGGCCCCGGGAGCGTCCGTGGGGCGGCGCGGAGCCCGGCCCCTCTCCCGCGCTTCCAGCGGGGAGAACAGGTGCCTCTTGACAGGTAAATGTCCGTCCGCCACGGGGGCTGCCGCTCGTCTGCCGCCGTCCCAAGCACCGGCACCGCTGGGGCGGGGGCCGCACGGGGCGGAGGGCGGGCGGGAGCGGCGGGGGAGGGACCGGGCACGGAGCCGCCGCCCGCGGGGCAGCGCCGGCACATGGAGCGGCACCAGCCGCGAAGCCACAGCTGCCGCCCGCCCCGACCCTGGCAGAGCAGGTACCGCGGGGCGAGGGGTCCCGGGCGGGCACCAGCCCCCGAGGCGAGTGGGGGTTCAGCCCCGGGCGGCTGTGGTGCGCGGGTGAGGAGGGGCTGCGCGGAGCCGATGCTGCCGAGAAGTTGTTGCCGGGCGCGTTAAGTGGCAGACTACAGAGCCCAGTCATCCCATCCAATCCCATCCCATCGCATCCCATCCCATCCCTTTCTCCCCCTTCTCCCCGTCCCACACGCTTTTTTTTTTTTTTTTTTTTTTTTTTTTTTTAATTTTGAAACACTGAGCCGAACATACAGCTCGGGTGTAATCCAGGTGTTTTGGAGTGCTTCCTTAAAATTTCAGAGATGAGTAGCCATGAGGAGCTGGCCGAGAAAGAGTATTAATTCATTGATTCAAATGCGGATTGGTCTGTGTTCTCTTCGAGTCAGCTATAGCACTTAGGTTCAGTCAAAGCCCGCGTTCCGAGTGCTTGCGCCTGTAGTTTGCGAGGGGGGGGAGGGCAGGTACGAAGGTCTTAAAAACTATTAAGGAATTGTAAAATTAGCCGCCTCAGTACGCTTGAGGGGAACGGCATTGGAGAAGTTGCAGACTTCCAAATAGCGGGAGGACCAGAAGTTTTCCTCCTTGCCATACACCCTGTCACAGCTGGAGGGTTTTTTTCACCCTGCTTCGCAAAGTTACTCCGTCTGTGAAGGGACGGTTTCGCTCTTTTGTCGCTGCTAAAGAAGATGTGTGTAGTTAGAAAATGTGTGTGTGAAGAAATGAGTTCCCACTGCAGTAGTCGGTTCTAAGGAAACTTTAAATTTTGTGCTTCAAGAAACCTGATTACTTCTTGGATTGCTTTTCTACCTTGGTTTAGAAGGTATGGTAACACTGCAAGATATTGTGCTTCCAAAATTGTTAAAAGTTAATAATTCTGTGTCAGAAAATTTTGTAGTGTATGATTACAAATTATCTTAAAAAAGTGATGTTTTGTGGGATGCAAGAATTTTTAGACCTGTATGGCCACTGGTTTAAACTATGTAAATTGTTGTAGAGGAATATGTTATTTCTTTTTACTCTTTTTTTTTTTTTTTTTTTTTTTTCCCCTTTCACTGAATCTTAGTGCAAGAAGTGTTTTCAGGGACTTTGTGTGGAGGTTAAAAGTTAGGATTTAGAGCTTCTTGACTACATATTTTTCTTTCTGATATCTGGATGCTACCGGGGTTACATCGATATGCATTTACTGTTCAGATGTCCAAACCCTACCCAAATTAAATAAACCAGGTATATAATCCTGATAATATTTCGCTCACTCACATTAACAACACATTTTCTAGACTTTAATAGTTTAGTTTTAAAATTCAAAGCTGTAATGCACTGTAAGGTCCAAATCCTTCAAAAGACACGCTTTGTTAGTTTCAGTTGACTGCTCACATCAGTTGTAACTCACACACACTCTGCAGTACCATGGAGTATGACTTGCTGTTAAACCTTATTAAAAATCATCATTGAAATGTAAAGAAAAGCATAATAATATGCTGCATTTAGAAATAAGTACTAAAATTCCTTTCAAATACTTGGAAATACTTTATCTCAATCAGCTAAGCAGGGGCATGTTCTGAGTGGACTGTGGCACTGCTCTCTGACTTGCTGGTGAATTGAATAGTTTAAGGTGTTTTGAAGCCTGAGTGAAATAGAAGAATGAAGGATGCAATGTCTTTAGTCTGTGAATTTTCAAAAAAAAATTATTTGTACTTAGGTAAAATTGTTTATTCTTTGTTCTCTTCTTTACTGGGAGAAAATGTAAGTCCAAAAAGTGAGAATGGATTTGTCCATGTTGCCATAAAATTACCCAGTTCATGGGTTAATATAACAGTAGATACAGTAGTTGATACTATGTCTCTTTTCTAAAGGTTTCATTGCTCCCATGCATAGACTTCTTTATAACATTGCATGCTCTGCTTTGATTTTAACTCGTGTTGGTCAAAAAACTGAATTAAAACGACAGTGCCTTATGTCTTTATGCTTTAGTGTGCCTTATGTCCCCACCCCCTCAGCAAAACTCTACCAAGTTTTAGTTAGATGGCTGTATGCCTTACTTCTTTATCAAAGCCTTTGAAACTGAAGCCCGGAGACATGAGAAACCAAGTGCAGACCATGTGTAAGACCAAGAAGTCTTAAAACAGTTCATGTCCTTATGATAGCTGTCTGTAGCAGAACAGCAGGGGGGAAGTGTCCAAAATACTGCAGAGCTCTGCACTTTATGTAGTTCATGTTTCTATTATCCCAGACTTGCTCCAGCCTTAAAGATTTTCTCACAAATCTTAGTATTGGTGACTACCCATGTGCCTTTTTTTTTTTTCTTTTCAGTAAAGTAGGTGAAGCTCAGAACATGATATACTGCAAGTTTATGAAAAAAAAAATAGAAATAGAAATTATGTCCCTAATTACAAGGTAAATTTATGATAAAAGCCAAAGAGAAATCAGGTTTATCCACTGAGTGAGAAGACTGCCCAAACTAAAGTCAATGGAAGTTCAATGCTGGATGTCCATCACATCCAGGACTTCAAACCTAATGCACTGATCCTTGAAAGAGTCTACCTACTGGGTATGGCTTCCAGGGCAAATGACAGGAACACAGAAGCATAGTATGAAATTGTACTGATGGTCCTAATTCAGTCAGGAAGGAGAGATGGACCCTAGTATTTGAAGAGGAATCACTAATGTCTCTGGACCATCGTAATGATGGGAAGACAGGGCAGAGGACTCTTTTCTCTTTGCCCTTCATGCTCCCAGTAAGTGGAGAAGCTTAGGCACTGATCCTATGTGCATCCTTTGTCCCAGCTGAATATTTCTCATTTACTATTTAACTACAAGTGAAGCTTACAAGCTCACTTCACTTAAGTGAGCAAAGTGCTTTGGTGCGTTTTTAGCAGGTCCCATACTTCTGAGTTGCATTAGAGGGACAAGCTTGTCATATACCTCAGACTTTCCACCCCAGCTCCCAGCTGCCAGTACTCCCTTCAGGAATGATCTTGTTGCTTGTTCCCTTACATAAACATGAATAACACCTTTGTCATTTGTGTTGCATTCAGCGTACCATTAAAAAATGCAATAGTCTCCATCTCAGTATTACCATAACAGTTTTCCTTTCCCTTGTGGACCTTAGTACCAAAAACCTTGTCTGCTTTCCACTTCCACTGCATAGCAATGCAGAAATGTAACTGCATAACCAATCCACAGAGTTTTACAGCAATGCAAAACTTCTTTCTCATCATTAAAATTGGATAACTCCAAAATGAAGCCAAAAACAGTTCCAGATATATTTTATTCCAGCTTAGGTACTTCTTATACTAACACCACAATTTTGCAGAAAACAAGGAAATGGGTCCAGTCTGTATTTCAGCAACAGAAAACAAGGGCATAATGAATTGTATGCTGTTCTGGCAGATCATTTTTGGCAGTGTTCTCTTAAAAAGTCCAGAAGATATCAAAAGTCATGGATCACAGCCTAATTGTGTGGCTCTTTGTCAGGAAAAACTTCCATTGAAGGCTTGTGGGATTTTTTTTTTCTCCTGTTTTATGTGCAAGAAGAGCTGGGTCTATAGTAATATTTGTTTTTTGGTTAAGATTCACATATGTACTTCATTACATTTTGACCAGTCATTACTTTCTACTATTATTTAACGTAATAGAATTAGACCAAAAAAAGAGTAATAGTAAAATAGTAGAATTTAGTGTAGCAATAATGGAATCTTTGAAAAATGTCATCCTTGTGAGAGTAGAGCAGGATGTGCTGCTGGCTCCCCTGGAATTCCCCTCCCAAGTGACAAACACCACTTTTCTAGCAAGTATAAAATTACTCAGAAAGCAAGAACAGTAGGAATACATTATGCCAGTTGAAAAGTGGAAGATAAGGATTCTCATCAGTGTTTTCTGGGACTATAAGTCTTTGAGAAGCCTTTTAAAATGCTTGCAACTCAATACAAGAGTCAAAATATGAAAGACCACCCTGGTATTTCTTCACTTATTTTTTCTGTAATCCAAATATTATTTTTGCTCCCCCCACCTGACACTGGAGTGTTTAGAGATGAGTGTGAATGCCATCTGAACCAAGTCAGACAGCGTCAGTCTTGTCAGCTTTATGGCATTTTTTAAACAGGAGGCTACTTTAAATACCTTACACTCATCCAAAGTAGCTGCAGCAGTTTTCTCTCTCCAATGGCTATCCAGAAAAGTGTACTGACTTCAACTGGAAAACTCCCTTCTTCCAAGATCAACTTGTCCCTACATCAATCTATACATTAACTTAACTAAAAGTCAACAAGAGCTTTGTTTGCTTCCTAAATTTAAACAGAATTATGTGTACCCCTTAAGGTATGTTGCAATGCATCTTTATTAAAACCCTGACAACTTCTGCCTCACCCTTCTTCAGAGCACAGCTTCCTCCATGCCTTAAGGTGGTGAACAAGAAGAGATAACAGGGGTTTTTGCACTAAGCAGGTTACTGCCAGCACTGTGGTGGCTGTAAAAGTAAGTCCTAGTTCTGAAAAGATACATGCATGTTCTTAGCTTTGTACCATTGCGGATTCTTGGGGATACGACCATGCAGGTTCAGGAACTGCATGGCACACTCATGCTTCTTGTATCAATGCTTCCAGAGGTTGTTCAGACTCTCTTGGATGAACAGTCACACTGAAATCATCGTATTTCTTAAGCAGTGGGAACTGTCCGATTCTCTTGCTTATTTTGCTTATTTCATGTGAAAGATTTACATTTCTTCTTCTGATCCCACTTGCTCTAGCTTTCTCAGTGAAAGAGAAACTTGCTCTGTAAGAGAGCTCAGATTCCCCGCTGAATTGCTTCATTTTTCTGCTTGTTTCAAATCACTGAGAACAGCAGAGCAATCACAGTATAAAGCTGGAATTGACCATAGTGGATTGGATCCAAAATATTTGCAAAAGCAGAGTGAGTTAACTAAAATATATAGTGTGGAGGAACTTGCTAATTTGTTTTAATTTTAGGAATTATTTTTAGGTTTATTTAAGGGTAAAAAAAAAAATCACACCAGTCTCTAATATGCTTTTTCAGGCTAGTAATGTCCTTTAATAATTCATAAGAGCCTGAACAGTTTGAAGGGAAATTAGGAAGCAATTCTGTGATCATGAAGCAGAGTTACTGAAACCTTCTATAATTCAGACAAATTGACTACTGATATATTGTAGAGTATACTTGGCAATAACAATTCTCAACATAGAGAGGTACTTTTATGTTTTCTTTATTGCATATTTAGATACACTGTGATGAGGACATCCTCCGCTTTTTAAATCAGACTAATAGATATTTACAAAAAATACAGTTCTTTGTCTGCTGTTTGCCTCCCCTTGAATGAGAGCTCTGGAAGGATATCCAAGAGCTCTATTTGGCATCTTGAGAATATGCTGTGTTCTTAGATTGAGTGCCTTAATTTACACCCCTCACCTTTTATAGTCAGTTTATTTATAAGATGGAAATGTGTGCGTTTTCTTTGTTCTGGTGAATTTATTCCACTTTTCTACTTGATTTTTAGTGAATAAAGGTGACAGGGTTTAATGAGTTAATAATATTTGCCCTTAATTAAGAAAATTACCTTCATATTTTTCTCATATTGTGGAAACAATTTGTAATGACTCTGGTTGCAATTCAAAAATTTGAAAGAAGAACCTTTTTCATATTTGCAATGATACCAAGTCCAGTAATTTGCACAGAAAGTCAATAAAAGAATGGATTTTTTTATTATCTCCTTTAGCAATGAATTGTTAACATGAATATAGCTCAAGCACAGAAAATGCTAGGAAGAGCACATATGGAAAACACATACTTGATACAAGATGCGCTTTTTATCATTTGTCAGTGATTTGAAAAAAGAATTCCCAAAGAACTGAGAATTATGTAGGATCTTTGAGACAACTTTTTTTACACCCTCACAATTGTTCCCTAACACAGAAATTAATTTTACATGTGCCAGACATTTAAATGTTTCACATCTTCACTGTTAGCAGAGTTCCTTTCTTAATCTTGTGTGTTGAATTACAGTGCTTCCTTCATTTTGCAGACAGGAGCTTTCAATTGAAATTTCACTGTATACTCATAATTGTATTGTCAATTTGTGTAGTTAGCCAGCATTTACACTAGGCAGGAATAGAGAAATGACTGAATAAACTAAACATCTCCCTTGACTATGTAGAAAGTGCTGAATACAGAATTAGTGCAGGAGGAAAGAAATGGATCCACTTAGTTTAAACCTCTTTTTTAATGCAGTCCTTTAAAAGACCTGGAGGTATTTGTTTTGTTTCTTTGAACAGAAATGGAAGGACATAGAAGTGCTCATTACGATTCTCAGTTTTCAGAAAGGACCACCCCTCACCTTGGTAGTTATTATTTACATTGAGCTGTGTGATGAGGTGGAAATTAAAAATAGAATTAAAATTGTTCTAAAATGGAGTCATTCGCAGAGATTGTGAAGTGTAGCATATTAAATTACAATAATAAAGCTAATTATCAACTGCTTGCTGAGATATTGAATGCTTTTAATTAAAATGAGTTTGTATAATTCTAGCAGTTTTCTTCAAGTATTTGAAGATTGGTTATACAATACAGATTACCTTTTTTCCATGTTAAACAGTCTTCCCGTTGAATGTTTAACCGTATTTAGCACATTTGTACATGAAGTTAGAAGTCTGTTTATATATATATGTATATATATATATATGTATATGTATATATATGTATATGTATATATATGTTTGGTTTAAAATGAAGCTAAACATTAAATCCTTTTTAAAAAGTGTCTTCATTCACCTCTTCTTTTGGTTGCCCTGTGTTCCTTGACTTCCCTGGATACAAGAGGCTTGGTTCCATTAGGTCCAGACCCTCTGGTGCAATTAGAAATGCAGCTGTATTATTGTTCTGCAGGCAGATGCAACTCCCAGCTTAAACCCCAAAAGGCTGATGACACATATATGATGATACAACTCCTAACTTGTTTTTAATGTGCACATTCTCCTATCAGGTGTGTTAAGGGCTATAGGAGTTTACTGTGTTTTTCAGGCTGCAACCTCCTTTTCCTTTATGAATTTATTTATTAAACTTCTATTTATGTGTCTTGGGTGGTTGAATCTAGGACCCATTTTAGGAGTTTCACTTCAGTTTAGGTTTTAAAGTGGATTGGGGTTTTACGGTTTTGGTTGTTGACTTGGAGTTTTAATTTGCTAAAAATGAAGCCTGTGTGATGAGAAGCTAGTGAGGCTTGTCACAGACCACAAAGATGAGACATACTCACACACCAGTGCTCCATTAGAGCCAGCTGCTCCAGTGACCAATGTGAGCGGTCCCTTTCCTGCCATGGGGCTGCTTACAGAAGTGGGGGTCACACAGTCAGGCCTTTCCCCAGCGTGGCTGGGAGTAAAGCTGGGGTTTGCCTCTTTGCTTATTTTTCAGTTTACCCAGAGTTGCCACCACTGAGGAATGTATGTTCCCCTCACTTTTTGTATTTGTGGAAGCACCTGCAGAGCACCAGGTCCCCTGTAAAAGCTTATTTCCCCTCCCCTCAAGACTTTGTGAGTGCTTATTTCTGCTTTGAGGTTTCATGGAAGTGTACCTGCCCTTGCGAGCCACACTCAAGACAGAAGTGTTCCTTCAGGCATTTTTCTGTCTGCTAAGCATGGCTGCACCTAAAAAATGTCAGGGAACGTGCATCTGGATGTGGTGTACCTTTGCGGAGCCCTTGCAGTACCAGAGGCAGAGTTCTCTGTAGATGGAAGGACAGCTCTGGGTTTAGGTGTGCTGGTGTAAGACCAAAGTGGCTCCACAAATATCAGCATTTGTGATTTCATTTCCTTACCATAAGGTTCCATTGTGCTGAGTGTGCAGCACATCTTGTCCCAGACAAGTCAGTACATACTTAGCTTGGGAAACACAGAAGAGAAAAAAGAATGGGTACTCTTTGGCATTGGATTAGGTCATTCCATTGAATCACATCAATGGCCCAATCTTGCAGTCTTTTAATATCCAAAGAAAAGAGGGTTGTAGAAGGACTGACATGCTTACACATACTTTATATCAATTGATGAAGCCTCGTATAAATGCTAAGCATTAATTTTCTTGACAAGGAGGTTTACTTTTGAATTTGCTGGGAGACAAAATAATAAACCAAGATTTGCCAATAATTAATTTGCTGTATTCTGAAAGATTAGAAAATCTTGACCTTACAATGACTTCTTCCTATTCACATGTGGAATTCTAAAAGGTCCTAAATCTACTTCTGGTTGTAATTGACATTAGATATAAATTAAGCAGTACTTCCAGTACTTCATGGGGTGTATTTTGATATATTATTAAGACATAGCATGAGTTATATTGAAGAGAAAGTTGCAAGGAGGGAAATTCATGACATGTAAATTTTCTTCAGGACAAATGCTGACTAACTTAAATCCAAAATTTTTGTATGATCATGGTCACTTAGATGCTTCCTTATTTAAAACAAACTCAACATAACCTCTCAAAAGGGTTGTGTGTTGATCATCATGTAATTTAAAGTTGCAATATTTCATTATTTTTTCCAAAAGACTGTAGTAGTGTCATTTCTGAATCTGGTATTTATAGTCTGAAGAGGAAAGTGTACAGGTTACAGTTCCTTATCTGAAGAGCCTTGAAGAAATAATTTTACCTATTTTGAAAGGAATTTTATCTTCTTTGTAGCTCTTGTAATAAGGGGCCAAACTTTGAAGCTATTTGTATTCCTAAATAGAATAATTATCTATTATCACCTAGGTGCTAATCCCTTTCCTGCTGTAAATGAGAGTGAGACAGGTTCAGCATTTGAGAGCAAGATTGTTTCAGTCAGGTGCCCACCCAGCTTTTGATTTCTAACTTTGGGCTCCTAACTTAGCTGATAACCTAAAAAGATGTGACTGCATTGAAGACAATGAAGCCATATACACTTCTTACGCTAGTGACAAATTTGATTCATGGGTAAAACTTAAACAATGAAAAATTAAAAATCATCTTTTTTGTGGCAAACCAAAACAGACCGTAATTTTAGGGTTTTATGTCAGAAACATTTTTAAAACATTGTTCTTTTAGATATATCATTGTAAAGGTTTATTTATTTACAAATTGATAACAAATAGATGCTTTAGTGCAAATTTTCATATCCGTACATAGGATCTCTTATTTTCCAGGTGGTGACAATTCTTGTTTCTGCTGATTCTAGAGCAGAGGAAAGGGAGAAAATCAGGACATGATTTCTTATTCATAGCTTTACCATACCAAAGGCAAAAGGGTAAATGCTACTCCTAGCACTTAAAATTTAGCCCAAGATCTGTTGTGCTCAAGTCTGGTGTGACAAACCTTTTAACAGACACAGAGCCAAAACCTATACAGGACCAATTGCAGAACTGAGATGGGGTGCCAGATGTCCTGTCATATATTCTTTGCTGATACAGGGCCTAAGTTGAAGTTAGCTGGGATTTCATTAGTATTTATGAGATACAATAAGAATACAATCTTCCTCTGGGAGGGATTCAAAACCCCTTGAGCATTTTTTAAAGTTGTTTTTTTGTTTTTGTTTTTTTTTTTCTTATCAATTTGTGTAGTGCTTGTGGATCTTAACCCACATTTAGGAACCATGTTTAATTGTTCTAAGTAATTATTGGGAAGGAAAAAAAAATATTTCCATTATCACTTTTCCACCAGCTCTATTTCCTCTCAGTGTTTCATCCCTGTGAAATGGATCAGCTTTGCTGAATGTCTTAAAGTCACCTAATTCAAGGGTAAACCCTGATGCCATCAGTGTGAGATCTGAGAGTGTGTGTTTCAGGACAGGCAGACATCCAACCTCACAGAAAGCAAGCTAACACTATTAGACTAAAAAAAAAGAAAACAAAACACCACAACAAACTGTACTCGTTTACTTTCATTAAAAAAAATAAAACAACAAAAAACAAACCAAACAAGAAAAAAAATCAGCCCTGTAGTTTAGCTCTGCATTTAAGAAATTAGGAAATGGGAATTCTCCTTGGAAAGTGTTTTCCAACAGAATTCCACTTGATGACGGTAAGAGGCAGGAAGGAGTACAGCTGACAAGTGTGTGGCTTAGGTTGCAGAAATGCTGAGTGTAAGTAAGTCTTGTCATGACAAAGGCAGTTAAATTCAGGAATACAAAAACTGAAGAAACTTTCTTCTTTGTTCCTCCTCTCCTTGGTACTCCCAGTCCTGCTGAAGCCACAGCAACAGCAAGAAGGCAGGTGAAGCTGGAATAAAGAGCCCTTCCTGAGTGTGATCCCTTTCTGGTGGGTATATTCTTGGAGTGGCTTTTCAGTTGGTTAGGGTTCACAATCCTCTGGAAAAATGTGTAGTAATCAACTGATTAATAGTAGCTGGGTGACACTAGAAGGCAGTAATAAAATGCATCTGCCTTTCTTTTCTTCTTCCTTGCAAGTCATACTTGCAGGAGAAGTAAGGCACTTGTACTTACCACCTGCCATAAATACACCATGCTTTCAGTAACTGACCAGGCTACAGTTATAGGGTTTTTCCTCCTGTGAGAGAAGCTGCTTTTCCCCACTGACTACTTTATTAAAAATGGAGCTATTCAAAGCTCTTTATTCCCATAAGAACCAATGCAAATTGTTGAGTGGAAGGTGGTTTTTTTGCATTTTGCATGTCTGTAGTAATTTCTGAGAACTACATATAGACATTAAACAAATTGCTTGTCTGGAATTAAAGTTTAGGTGCAGAATAAAGCAAGACAGAGCATTATTGGATATTAAGCAGTGTTATGGTACATGTGCAACAAGCCAGAATGCTCTGTAAGAATGCCCAGTGTTTTTTGCAAACTGCATAAACCATAATCTGTTCAACATCCTATGGCTGTATGTCTGTGGCCCTGCAGTCTGCACATTCTCTTTTTGCAGTTCTAGCATGGGCCTGGTGAGGAAAGCCAGGACTTCTAAGTTGGAGGGTGGGGGGCAGCAATACATTGGAGTACATCTGAGCTGTACTGTTGACATTCAGAAGCTAGTGAACCATCAAATTTATGAAGTTATTAAATATAATAATAGCTGTTACACTTTCCTACTCCAAATTTTTGGAGATTGGAAATTTGGAGGTTGAAGGTCTTGCTTTGGTAAAAGAATAATCATGGAAGTTGGGCTACCCTAGGTTAGGATAAAGTTGAACCCTTTCCCAGGAGCTCAAACTACATCCTCCTCTACTTCCATCCTTCAATAAAGTGCTTGTTTAATTCCAGGAAGCAAACTTGACAGTACAAGCATCTCAGTTACAAGAAACAGCTTCTCTGCTTGGTAGGATGTGGAGCCAGCCATAGCAGGTGAAGATGTCACCTAACATTCCATGGCTAAACAAAGGGCTCTTTGTCCCCTCTCCACCAGAGGCTACCTCAGCTGCCCATGCCATACTTCAAGGTGGGGACCAAGTTGTGATGGGACTACCTGCTCCAGCAGCACATCTGTTATCCAAGGGGCCACCAGCTGTCTGTAGCCAGCACTCGAGCCCTGGGACCTGCAGGGTCCCCTTTTGATTGAGAACCTGAGTTTTGTTTCTACCCCACTAACTCTCCATGCGCTTCTCTCTGGTGCTTGTGGTCACTGGTCACTGGCTCCTCAGAAAATGGTGTGTCGCAAGCAGAGGGCAGGAGCTTCCTGGTATCGCTTACCATGCTGTAGAGCCAGCCATCTGTCAGCAAAACAGGAAGGCATGGGTTCCTTCTCCCTCCTGGGCTTGTTTCGCTATTTTCAGGAGCTGTACTTCTCCCCCATGCAGCACCAGGCTGGTGTGATATGAGGAAAGGGCTCCCGGGCGAGTGAGGGGCCAAAGCCTGGAGCTGCTGCTCTGCCCATCTGCTGTGGCTGGAGGTGTATTCATTATTAATGGAGGTAGTGGCTGTTGCTGCTCAGATATGCAGCCCTGCCTGGGTAAATGAGACATTCTTCAGCAAATTGCTTCAGTTTTTGATTGCTGATTGTATGTGTGTCACCAAGCTGACTCAAGGTTCATCGATGCATGCTCAGTAAATTAGAAAGAACATAACTATGGATCAACCAAGAGAATGAATTCTGTGCCTACAATGACCCAGGGCCATTTAATTTTCTGCTTAATTTTGTTGCAGTCAGTTTGCATTTTGGGTTATTATGCAGTAGGAAATTAACAATAAATAACAAATTTGGTCCTCCTGTGCTTGTAATGATATTTTTATAAATCTTTGTAATGCTGTTTTTCAAAGGATCAAGGTCTGTGCCAGTCTGATACTCCAGCAAGTATGCAGGGAGGAAATAAAGAGAAAAATACATTATTCTTCCCAGATAATCTTATAGTTAAATAGCAAAGGGTTTTTTTCCTTTCCCCTTCTTTCTCCTTCTGTGTGTGTGAGGTAGTTTTTTTTTTTCTTTCTCTGTGTGTGTGTGTGTTTTTTTACATTAACATAAGGCTCTTCCTTTCTTCTCAGGTAACTTGAGGAAAATGGAAACAGACGAGGCTCAAGATATGTCCCAGGTTTCAGGTGAGATCCTTACTTCTACAAAGAAAATACTAAATTCCTGCTCATCTTTCTAGCACAGTACAATGTTTTTCTTGTTGTCAATAAAATTGCTTTGGGTCTTTTTTAAAACCAAAGTGGGAATTGAGATATAATTAACGATATCACTTGATATCAAGCCAAATGATGCATAGATTTTTTAAAAGGGACTGGGTAAATAAAAAAGTCAAGGGAATATAGAAGCATAGATGTAATTTTGCATTAAACCTGTGGTAGCGTATCCCTAAACCATGGTCAGGTGCATGTTTACACCATTTCTTCTGGGAAAAAAATTCTGATTGTTACAAAATAAATAGAACAAACAAAATTCACCAGGTGGGAGGGAACAAATACTAATGAAAAAGAAACAAAGGGTATTTACCACATAGGATTATTTTACTTTTTTCCAAAGCATTCAGTTTTACATATACATGTTTAAAAACGTTTAAAGAACAAAAAGAAAAAAGAAAATGAGAACTGATTGGCATGAGACTTTATGCTTGTAATTGTTTTCGTCCAAGATGATATTTTGAAATATGTTTAAATGGCAGGGAATTTGGCTTTCTAAAACTTGGCCCATAGTCGCATGAATACAGTCATTATACAGTCTTACCCCATACTGATATTCCTTGGGGGTATTCTTAACTTTCTTGGAAATTGATTCCTTAAAAAATTGGCTTAGCAAGATAATACATATTCATATTGTTGTGCCTCCACAGTTGAAAAAGGCCAAGTTACTGTCTTTCCCAGTTTCCCTAATACGTTGGCAACTGCAACGGTTGATGGCTTTCAGTTTTCACTTTTAGTACTCAGCCTGGAACATGACAGCTCCATCACTGAGGCCACGCACAGCAGACACCTGGGCCTGCAGCTCTTGCTTCAGAAGCAGCTCTTGGTCACTGCTGCCTCAGGACCTAGGGGGTTCCAGCTATAGGAAGTAGATGGTAAAGGCGTGGGCACAGTGTAGGTGACTATGTCACTGGGTTTTCCTGAAATGTATGAATACAGTTTTCTTTCCCTCTCTCTTTTGTTATTTTTCTGCCTCCTTTCTAAAAATTTTTGGAAAGTTTTGTCAAAAATTGGAACCCAGAAGTTTCAATGTCATCTGAGAAATAAAAATCAAACACATTTTCTGTCTGAAAGAGCAAGAGTATAATAATCTTTCATGCCAAGAGATTACAAGTTATGTTTATTATAGAGAAGTAATTCCTAGTTAGCCCTGTGGAGACATGTTGCACTCGCTCCTCAGGTAACAAATTTGGAATTTAAACTGGATAAACTTCCACATCACTAGTTTGTTGGATGTTGACCCAATTTGTAAATGAAGTAAAACCTGTCCTATACATGCAGTTACTGGAGTATTTGTGGCCTTTGCAGAAAAACAGTGGGGTTTTAGTAGTTTATTCACTTTGGATCTGCTTGGAGCAGTGAGAGGCACCATGATTTGAGTCCAGCTCCTCTGCCTACTGCAGAAACCCTTCCCTGCTTGCATGAGCTCTTTCAGGAAGGAACGCTGGCCTCCTCTTCCTCTGCAGCAGCAAAGGCTACTCTGATTACCCTCACCTAATCTTTGTGGTATTCTTTACAATGGTGTCAATTTGAGCTTAACACCTGCTACTTCTTAGTAAAGCACTGCTTGTTTTTCTTTTGATGTGAAAAGTAGCAGCAGGGGAGATGATGCCTTGAGTCAAGGATTGGATTGGTGAAAAACAGAAAAAACACTTTGCCCTCCTTGTGGTCTGCCTCTTCCTTTCAGAGGGAAAACTTATAAGGAACTTTGCCATTTTGAATGCTTGTAGATATGTAAATATATACATAATAGATGTATATCTATAATTTGTAATTCTCTAAGTTTTCTGTAGTTGAATCACTGTAGTATTGTAGTATTTTGCTAAAAGTGCCTTTTAGCTTTTCTAGCATATCATGCAATAGTACTATTCTATGCTGAGAGAGGGTTTTCTTGAAAAAGAAAGTTACCCTTGATAAAAGGGAGACCTACACAAACAGATTCAAGCCTGCTTTGAGCTCTTCCTGCCGTTTCTGTCACTGAGCACCTAGTACTTTCTGTGAGCAAAGGCTCTGACTTGTATTGGGTTCTTAGCTGAATTTATGAACAACCGGCCAAAGAAAGAACTTCCTAATTTACTTTCATTTATGGTAAGAGTTATGTGGGAACTCACCTTCTGGAAATTAGCATCTGTCAGATTAGATTCCACAGATACTGGCTCTTTGTAAGTTCTTACTAGACCTCAAAAGTAGAGGATCTGAAGATACAGGGATGTTAACTACTTCTTTCTCATAGGTTGGTGAATGCAGAAAGGAGTTTTTCCCCTTGGATTCTTCTGGGTTTCTACATGCTTCTGGGATGCTTCTTTGCATGATGACAGAGCTCTGCTATATGTTGGGAACAAGTTAAATAACTGCACAGTTTCAGGAGTGTGAGATTGTCCTGTCAACTGTAAAACATTTATTTCTCCTGTTTTATGAGTATTGCTCATCAGGTGTAGCTGGCTCTCTAGGCCTATGGAATTAGGGGGTATGGTTCACTAGCACACTTGGTTGTGTTTTTAAAAAATATAAATTAAAAAATAAATTTAGTTTGATGGGTTTCTTTGGGGCTTTTCATTTCAACCCAGAAATAAAGAAGGTCTCTAGAAACAGTCACCCCAGCTCAAATGCCATGTTTTGCGGCCATGTGCTTTATGCAGCTGCAGTGGACTCGGGTGTGGCAGTGGCCAGCCAGGCCAGGAGAGTATGAAACTAATGTGGGTGAGCCAAACTCTGTGTGCACACAGGCATTCCCACCTCAGGGAATCCAGGCATGGCTGACTCTTAGAGGAACTGAAATACTGTGTGACTAGCACAGAGTTCACACTTTTTATTTTTCTCCTGAAAGTGGTATTTCATGAGACAAGCAGTTGCAGTTCTGAAATGAGGAGAGAGCTGACATACATTTAAGCAAATGGTATCCGGCACCCATGCAAGAGAGTCAGAAAACACAGATAATATCTCACTTAACAAGCAATATTTTTCCTGCCTTTTTTTTTTCTCTTTTTTTTTTTTTTTTTTCTCGGTTCTAGGGCCTAACTGTTAAGGAAGGTGAAAAAACAGTACAAATGTTTCCACATCTAACATTAAGAGATCTCCTAGAACAAACCAGGCTGTGCTGCACTTTGCAAAAGCAGGAAGTAAAAACCCTCAATATTAAATACACACACACCCAGCATTAGTTTGTGAAAGGATAGGGAATGAGATTTTTATAATATATCCTGCCTTGGCTTTCTTTCCAACAGTCATAGCGCCAGCAGTACCATTCTGACATGAACTGAATCACTGTCAAATCTGGATGTACATGTTAAAGGAACACCAGGCTGAGGACTTTGACAGAAATAAAGGATACTAAAACCTTATTGAATTGAGTAGTTTTTTCCCTTCCTGTCTTTCCTTATGGCTTCAAGTATATTTCTAGGGCAGAGATGAGGGCACTCAAATAGAGAGAAGCTGAGGGTCTTGCCAGGCATCACTGGTAGGTTAGGCTCTTCTCCGACTATTTTTATACAGAAATGGCAGTGTTGAAAATCTGAGAGCATCTTGCAGAGATGCAGAATGAAATAAAGAAATATTTGACACAGCCTGCAGTTGTAATTCTTTCTATTTATGACTTAACCGAGAGCAACATGAATCAGTGGCAGTACCAGAAACAGAACTTCAATTCTACATCTAAGGTGGCTCTTTATAATAATTAATTTTAAAAACCAAAAAGCACACCATCCACCCCAAGATTAGATTCTATTTTTTATATATCACTTCTTATGCTACTTTCCTCTATTATGTGACTTTTGAATAATTTTCCTCAGTATTAGCCTCTAAGTATTGGAGTGGGGTTTAGCTCCCTTTCCTTTGACCAGTTGTTCTGGGCATGTCTGTTTGAAATTAAAATAGAAAGCATTAAAGCATTCTCACCTTCCCCCCCACCCCCCCCCTTTCCATTTCTAAATTCAGCGGAAAAAGAATGAAAGAATGTTAGTGAGATTTTATATGTGTAAGATTGTCATGCAGTAATGAACTTGCCATGGTGTAATGTTTTAGATGTAGGTAAGGTGTGAAATACAAATGTGATGCTCTAGAATCCAAGAAACAGAACTCAATAAATGGATGTATTTTAAATCCACTGTTTTCGCCCTTTCTTCTGCATGTAGGGATTTCTCAATCATGTGTAACTAGAAGAAAACAAATTATATTAAATGGGTCATTAAAGACAAGTTTACTAAAGTTTTAACTGTAGCCTCCTGCAAAGAGGGAAGCAGACCTGATCTCCAGCTTCTGCCTCACCAAGTCCATGAGGCGAGTCCAATTCATACCATCTGGAAAAACTGCTATTAATTTAAAAAATAGAAGACTGATACCCATTTAGTGAACCAAAGAGTTCACCACTGCAAATGTACTCTCATGCTAACAGGTTTCTATTCCAAAAAGACTGCTTTGACTTCAAAGTATCCTACTTAGACTATGTAGGATGCCTAATAACACACTTATAAAGTTATTATTTTGTCTGTTATCTCTTATCCCATAGTTCTGGTATTATGAGTTTATATTGATTTGTAGTCAAAAATAGTCTTCAGGTTTTTAGGATAATTGTTCTTCTCAGCGTAGACTCAGCCAAAGCATCAATGTCCATGTTGTAACTGGGAGCACAGTTTAATCCCGGAAGACACAAGTAGTTTTGGATTACTGTTACTTTTTAACAAATTTCCATAATTTACATGTAGTGTGAAGAGAGCTGCCAGGCTGTTGCTTGCCCTCCAATTAAACCTCTGTGATTTTTTGGTTGGTGTTTTTTGTTTGTTTGTTTTTTGTGTGTGGGGCAAAATGTGTTGAACAAACTGAAATATTTCAGCTGTCTCTCCTCACTTGTGCATCTTATCTATAAGAGATACTTCAGTTTGGCAGGTTAGGACTTGCAATAGAAAATTGCTGTCAGTTCTGTAAGTTCCCTACATCCCAGAAATCTGAAGAAAAAACTAAATAAGGAGTTAAATAGTGAATGGAAAAAAAAATAGTGAATTTACTTCCTGCTTTTATTTTCTTTTGCTGTAAAATTTGTATTCCCTCTTGGTCATTTATGCAATCTGCCTTTGCTCTTGCACTGACATCCACTGGGTGTGACTTTTCCCATTTAAGAATACCCCACAGAAGCTGGGTATGAGTGCGACCTTATTAAATCATCTAGTTAGTCTCCCTGCTGGTGCAGGACTGTTTCTTCAATACCCTGGAGTCCTCTGGCTGCAGTTTGGGATGGTTCACCTGATGCTGCTCTCAAAACTCCTGCTCAGAGATTATTCCACAGTTTGATGGGTGGGTCCTTAAGAAATGCAGTCACATACTCATTTCATTCATTTAAACATAGGTTTGTGCAAACAATCCAAAACAGCTGATGTGGAAGATGACTTAAAACTAGCTGTAATTTCTCCCCATGATAATCAGTATAATTGGAAAATACAATGCTTTGATCCATCCAAGAGGCAGGGTGGAAACCATTCACTTCATTCAGATCAAGTCCATAACTGGCACCACTAAACTGCTATCACTAAAGTAACCTATATTTGGGTTAGTTTTTCCATTTAAGTGTTTTAAGATTTAACTGATGTTTGTGTTTTAATGAGGGAATTCTCATTAGGAAAAAAACTCACTAATTTGCCAGGGCTTTGTGCTATGAAATTACTGTCCTTACCAGTGTAAGGTAAGGGCACCCATTACATCAGAGTAATTTGGTAACATCTCCGTTTTCAAGACAAAAGTCTTACGTGAACATTACTGCATTCGAATTCTGCTCTGGGCCTGTTCTTTTCTATTAATGCAAAGGCCAGTCTTTTAATAATATTCAATTAAACTAATCATTTAGATAATTCCTTCAGTAGATGTTTCCAAGGCATGCTTTTGTTAGAGATATATGCAGTCATTTTAGAAGTTCTGCAAGACTGTGATACTACTATGGGCAAGAGATGTATGCTGTGACTGAGGGGTGAATCAAGAAACCTCACCATTTTTGGAAGCACAATACTTGGCAAGAGAGTTACTTTTCTTACTGTATTGTATTTGGCACTAAAACAGTTCCACAAGGTTGCCTCTGCAAAACCTTGTGTACTCAAGAATTGGGGTTTGTTTCGTATTTTCAAACAGAAGACAATAAAATCCTCAATGTTGTGTGTTTACTGAACTCTGCTAATTGTACATGTTTAAGAAGTCCTGCTACCTACAGGCACTTCACTACTTGTAGACACAAGGACCAGCCAGAGCTTTATCTGTGGGTATTAGTGAAGCTTGCTGGCATTGTAGCTGAATTTTTAGTTAAAGATAAAACTTTATTTTTGAGGTAGTTCTTTTGGAGCCCCAGAATACCTGTGGGTTAGACTTCACTATGTCTTCGAAGTAAATCCAGTTGTGTTCTGTAGTGGTTTAGATTTGCCAATTTCGTTTTCCCGGCCAACGCACCAAATAAATGTCATGGTTTCAAAGCAGTAACTAAAAAATCACTAGAAAACTTACTTATTTCTTGCTCTGAGATATGGATTAGAACAAGAGCAAAACAGGCTTAAAATTTAAAAGGAATAAAGAAAGTTTATTAACAAAACTACAAGAATAACAACACCAGAATAAACCTCCAGAAAACCCTTTTATCCCCCACTTCTCACTATTCCCTTGTTCACATGACAACATAGAGACAAAAAACTTTGGAACTTTGGTGTTTAAAACAGTCCCAATTCTCGCTAGAGTCTTTTCATCAGTCTTTGTAGAGAAACAGAAGTCTTCTTCTGCTAATCTATGGTGTTTTTCACGAGAAAACTATTTCTGTTATAGCTTTCTATTTTTCTGATGCCAGCTGCCCGGAAATCTGTCATCAGTTCACTCCTCCCATTTCACATCACTCTGAGGTGTGTATGGGCCATGCGTCTAGGGATATCATTTTTTTAAGGATAAGTTATTCAAAGGCAGAAGTCCTCTTCATCTGTCTCTGTGAGCTTTTCTGGAAACAGTTTTCTCATTGCCCTCAAGGCCTCAAATTTTTGCTCCACTCTGTTCCAGCACCTCACTGTATCACAATTACTCTACTTTTTGCTCAAAATCTACACTTTGAACACTCCATTCCTCCCAATATCCTCTGTCATGAATTAAAGGAGTTTTTTTTCAGAACATTATTGTCCATCTCCATAGCTTTAACAGAAAAATATTTCAACTTATAAAGCATCTCCTTATTCTCTCTTCTCCATCTAAAACTTAACTCTTTTCTTCACTGTCTTCTTCATGTTGATTGTCTCTCTCTCTCTCTCTGTCTCCCTGGGAAAAAGGAGTAATCTGTACGTTTTATCCAGGTAGTAAAAGAGTTAAAGTCTTGGAAAATCTGCAGCTGTTCATGGTGTCAGGTTTCAGTCCAGCAGCAGAAACTACAAACCAAGCCAAGCTGGCCGGCTCTGCTTCTCCCCTTCCCCCCTGCCCCCGCCCTCTGC